CTCCCACAGTGCTGGGATTACTGGTGTGAGCCACTGCGCCCATCCAGCAGACAGCAGAGCTTTATGGAGTGGAAGACCTAGGAGTCTCATTCTTCTGGGTGAACACTTGAGCATTCTACTGAACCTTCTTATTACAGTTCCAAAGGGGGCCCCGGTTGGCAAGTCCCTTGCACCTTGCTTTCTTTCCTCCACCAACTCCCTTGGAGATCCGTCCAGAGGCCTCTCTCTTCCTCTAGCCAGCTCCTGTGACAAGGAGCCCAGACTGGCCTCTCCGGATCCACCCCATCCTGTTCCACAGGTGGAGTGCACCCCCTCCCTTAGGCCAGCGGCCACTTGCCTTATTCCTTCCTTGAGCATCCATTGCCCTGACTGACCAATGGCATTGTCCCTTTCCCAGAAAGAGAGGGGTGGAAGAGGAAGGCAGGGAGAGCAGAAACCACCCGAGTCTTGTCTCTGGCTACAGGAAGCCCCACCCCCCCATCCCCGTGTGTCTGAGGGTGACCTGGGGCTTGTACCCCATCTCACTCCCATTGCCACACCCGGTTGAGGAAACAGGCACAGAGAGGTGCGGTGCTTGCCTGAGGTCACCCATCCCGATGCAGTCCCCTTCGGCTTGGGTCCAAAGTTCTTGCTTTTCCTACTGCTCTGTAAACCCTGGGGCTGGAAGGATCATATAGATGATCCCACCTTCCTTCCCACCCCAAGGCCTGGCCACATCCTGTTCTCTCCATCTGGAAACTCTTCCCTCCGATCCCAATGAGGCTTCATTCCCCACTTGCTTCAGGCCTCTGGTCACACGTCACCTCCTCCTGGGGCTCTCCCTGCCCACTCCTTACCCAGCCACTCTCTGGCCCTTACTTGTCCTGACTGCATTGTTCTTTTTTTGGAGACAGGATCTCACTCTGTTGCCTGGGCTGGAGCACAGTGGTGCAGTCCTAGCTCACTACAGCCTCACTCTCTGGGGCTCAGTCCTCCCACCTCAGGCTCCCAAGTAGCTGGGACTACAGGCATGCATCGCCATGCCTAGCTAATTTTTATTTTTGTAGACACGGGGGTCTCCTATGTTGCCCAGGCTGGTCCCACACTCCTGGCCCCAAGCAGTCCTGCCTCAGCCTCCCAACACTCTGGGATTACAGCTGTGAGCCAGCACACAGCTGTGAGCCAGCACCCGGCTGTGTTCTTCTCCGGTGCCCCTGATATCCTATCAGGTGCTTATTGGTGTACTTGTCTTATGTCAGCCTCCAGCAGGATGTCAGCAAATTGAGGGTAAGGACTTTGCCTATTTTCCTGCAGTATTCCCAGCACCTAGAACAAGACCCACCACGCAGTATGGGATCAAGTAATGTATGAGGAACGAAATGAATGAGCAGCAACCCTGAATATAGAATTGAACAATATTCATAATCACAACTCTCAGAATCAGTGTCTGGTGCCCATGAAGGGGAAAGAAAGAAGGGCATCTCTCACCTGGAGAAGGAGTGAGTCTCCCCAATGGCAGCAGGAGCCTCGCCCCCCTGGGATGTGGTAGGCAGGAGGTCGTGGCTGGGCAATGTCTTGGAGGTAAGCCCACCTTCCCTTCATGCCCATTTTCTCCAACACAAAACCCTCCTCCGTGGGCCACTAGGAGAACTCCTTTTTTTTTGAGATGGAGTCTCAGTCTGTTGTCTGTTGCCCAGGCGGGAGTGCAGTGGCATGATCTCAGCTCACTGCAACTGAGACCGCCTTTGCAAAACTATGACTGAGAGTGAAAAAGATCTACCTTCATGGACTCCATCTGGCTTCTAATCTCTAAGCTGTCCTTATTCACTTCTGGGTGTAGACTGAACTCACTTTGGAAGAAACTTAGTTTATGGTTCGAACACAGACGGTGACAGCCCTTTCCCAAACCTGGGACTTGACTACCTCTGAGGACTCACATTAGCCACAAGATTAGAAATGATGGTTCAGGAGTCATGCAGCTGGAGGTGACAAGATTCTTCCCCTTCCTAAACTACTCCTAAGATCAGCCCTTGAGATATTTTGCAGACCCTGAACTTGATGGATCAGCTGGCCCCACCCACATCAATAAACTGGCTCATCTGATCCTGTGGCCCCCACCCAGGAACTGATAGCGCACCCAGGAACTGATAGACGGCTTTGACTTCCTACGATTTCATCCTTGACCAATCAGCACTCCTGGCTTCCCCCCATTCACCAAGTTATCCTTAAAAACTCTGCTCCCCGAGAATGCTCTGGGAAACTGATTTAAGTAATAATAAACCCCAGTCTCCTGCACGGCCGATTCTGCGTGAATTACTTTCTCTATTGCAATTTCCCTGTCTTAGTGAATCAGCTCTTCTAGGCAGCAGGCAAGGTAAACACCTTGGGGGGTTACACAATCTGGGCCTCCTGGGTTCAAGCAATTCTCCTGCCTCAGCCTCCCAAGTAGCTGGGATTACAGGCATGCGCCACCATGCCCGGCTAATTTTTGTATTGGTAGAGACGAGGTTTCACCATGTTGGCCAGGCCAGTCTCAAACTGCTGACCTCAGTTGATTTGCTTGCCTTGGCCTCCCAAAGTGCTGGGATCACAGGCGTGAGCCAACATGCCTGGCCTGAGAACTCCTCTTTATCCTACAAAACCCTTCAGGCATTCCACCCCATCCTGTCCCACAGGTGGAGTCTGCACTGCCTCCCTCAGGCTGGCGGCTCTGGGGCACCAGCTGTGACATGGTAAAAACCCCATAAAACTGCATGCCTTGGCGGGGGCCGAGGCAGGTGGATCACAAGGTCAAGAGATCAAGACCATCCTGGTCAACATAGTGAAACAATACAAAATACAAAAAATTAGCTGGGCGTGGTGGCGCGTGCCTGTAATCCCAGCTACTCAGGAGGCTGAAGCAGGAGAATTGCCTGAAACCAGGAGGCAGACGTTGCGGTGAGCCGAGATGGCGCCATTGCACTCCAGCCTGGGTAACAACAGCGAAACTCTATCTCAAAAAAAAAAAAAAGAAACTGCATGCCTCAACCATACCTCGGCTTTCTGTTGAAACTGCTCTCTGTACCCCTGATGTGTCCAAACCCATGCCATCTTGGCCCCTTCGACTTGTAATAAGTAACTAAGGTCTGTAATTTCCATCCTACCCAGGCAGTGTGTAAACTAACGCTTATCTTGACTTCTGTGGACCACTTAAGTAACAATCGGAATGTCTGAAGCCCCTCACCCTCACCCCTGCCCAGGAGGTGATTTACGAAATGTCCACCCCCCCCACCCTCACCCCCGAGGTGGTTTATGGGCATAAAAGGTCTTGACACCCTCCTTTCGGGCTAGTTGGAGAGATGTGAGTCCTCCGTGGCCACAGGCAATACAGACCCTGCAATTTGGCATACTTTTGTCTTGGTGTTGACTTTCTGTGCTCGTTCAGGTACAACACCAGCTACCTTGCTTGTTCCCTTCTTGAGTATCCACTGCCCTGGCTGACCAAAGGGTGATGGTCAGCACTGCTCTTTCTCCTGGAGAGAAATCACCCATTATGGGTGGGATTCCCCTTTGGATCCTTGGAAGTAGGGCTGGCCCACTCCCCAAGAGGTGGGGTTTGGAGTATGGACCAGAGCTGAAGGCAAGTGGCTGGTGCTAAAGTTTTATTCCCCGATCTGCCTGCCATGCTGAAAAGGCTCTGGGAGCCCTGCCCGGAAAAAGGGAGAAGGGCACTGTGGAGTGCCCCGGGGGGGACCGATGCCAGGCCCTGCTCTCAGAGTATGCCCTTCAATGGGATGGGGAGGGGGAGGGCTTACCTGTGGAACAGGAGCAGTGCTGTGGTGGGGAGGCTTTGGGGACAGGCGACCTGCCACTCAGGCTCTGGCCTGTGGCTCCTTCTGTATTGGTCCCGGGGCTGAGTGACACTGGGGGTTGCCCACGGCTATAATCAAATTAATGGCTAACAGTCACAAGCGCTTCACAGGGAATCATACTCCGGGGAGATGGGTATCATTATAATGATCCTCATTTTACAGATAAGGAAACTGAGTCCAGAAGAGGCCAAGAGCTTTGTGGAAGGTCACACAGCCTATGAGTGGTGGAGCCAGAATCCAACAGCTTAGCTCCACCCAGGCGTCTTCAGAATGGAAGGCTGGCCAGAAAGGCCTCTAGCTAGTGCCCAAGGAATACTGCATGAATGAATTCAATAAATTCACGCCTGGCCGGAAATCTCCCTCCCACAGGCCCCAGTGCCCACAATTCCACCACCACAACTATGCTCCTGGTGCCAACCCCCACCCACAGCACTTTCCAGCTCTGGGCTCAGTCAGTGATCAGAACTGCCAAGCCTGCAAGGGGAACACGATCACCCCATTTTACAGAGGAGAAAGCAGGCTGAGAGGAGGTCGGTAACTAGAACCCAGACCCGGCTATCATTCTAGGCTGCCGCACAGCCTGCTGCGTTTGGAAAATGCAGGCGAGTCTGGGAAGGGCACACATCAGACGTCATTTCATTTACACCTGCTGGGAAGGGCACCTCAGTTGCTGAAGCTCACAATACTGAGCTAACGGGGTAAGGGGACATGATTGGAACGCTGGGGGATCAGGAGAATGCTGGGTGGGGTGGATGCCAGGAGAGAACGATGCGTGGGAAAAGGGAAATGGGGTGGGGGTTGGAAGACACCGTCAGCGCTTCCAGTTTTTTTCTGCAGCATCTGCAGCTTGAGAGGGAAGAGCTGGTTCTGCCCTAGAGAGGCTGTGTGACCTCTGGGAGACTTTGCCTTTTCTCTTCTCTTTTTTTCTTTTTTGAGACAGAGTCTCACTCTATAGCCCAGGCTGGCACAATCTCAGCTCACTGCAACCTCTGCCTCCCAGGTCCCGGTTCAGGCAATTCTCCTGCCTCAGCCTCCCAAGTAGCTGGGATTACGGGCATGCGCCACCATGCCCAGCTAATTTTTGTATTTTTAGTAGAGACAGGGTTTCATCATGTTGGTCAGGCTGATCTTGAACTCCTGAACTTGTGATCCACCCGCCTCAGCCTCCCAAAGTGCTGGGATTACAGGTGTGAGCCACCGCGCCCGGCCAGCCTTTGCCCTTTCTAGAACCACTGGTGCCCGAGCTCTGTGTACAACTTCCCATCTGTGCATTTGGGCTCAGACAGAAGGAGGATGCTGTTCAGGCAGGATCGGGGCCTGCACACCTGCAGCCCCCATGGAGAATCCCAGGCAGCCCTCCACGTGGGTGGGGAGCAGGTGGATGCTAACTGAAGTTTTAAATAGAGTCGGACTTTGAAGTCCTCTGCAGCCCCGTAAGGCACAGAGGTGGCCCCCTGATCATAGGCCATCTGGGTGTCTCAGCCACAGTGCATCACAAGATCCCACATGCTTGGGCCAGGTGGTGTCTCTCCCTGCTGCCTCCTCCATCCATCCCCAGCCCCTAAAGGGACATCCCTGTACGTGGCTGAAGGACAACACCAGTTCACCCAGCCTCTCCATGCGACAGGCTCTTGGGTGCCTTACACACGTTCTCATTTCATCCTCACAATGGCCAGTGACACGGGAGCTCGGAAGGTGAAGTTCCTCTTCCAGAGTCGCGCAGCTGGGATGTGGCAGAGCTGGATTTGAATCCAGGCTAGGTAGCTGTGGCCTCTTCTCCTGGCGCCTTGCTGAGGGAGACCCTGCCCCAGCCTCAGTGACTGTTGGGGGCATGGGACTGCTGGAGCAGGCTTGGCCATGCTAGGCCAGCTTGTGGGTCACCAGGGCCTCAGGCTCCTGCTTGGAGCTGGTGGCTCCCAGGAGACCCCCTTCTCTGCAGGGACTTTTTTGTTTTGCGTCCTTGTGTCCAGGCTGGAGGATGGGACCGGAGGAGAGGGAGGGAAGGATGAAAGGGGGTCAGGTCAAGCCCAGGAAAGTGTCTGAAGCTGTCTTCCTCCAGCATGACTGAGGCCCAGTGAACTGTCAGCGGGGTCTGGGGTGTTGAGGGACAGAACCCTGCAAGACGCCATTAGCTGTGGTTTGGGGCTGTCGGGCAACTGTGTGTGTGTTGGGGGCAACCATGGAAGAGGCTGGTGGCTGGGAGCAGGGGACGCTGACATGGAACTGCCTGAGACCTTTGGCTGGTTCATTTCCCCTCCCTCAAGTCCTCCCTCCAGGCCCGCGGGACTCGGCAGGGTTTTCAAGGACAGCGCTGTCCGTGGCTTCCCGCCTGACTGACTGGCTGGTTCCTCTGTCTCCCCCGGGCTTTTTCGCTGCTCTGGCGGGCCTGGGCATTCCTGAACCCTCACGTGGGGCCTGTGCCTGGGGCCTCCTCTGGTGGGGTGCCACTGGGGATCTCTCCTTCAGAGGCAGGAGGAGGGGCTGGGTTCTCCGGGGCCCCTAGGTTGGGATGGGAGGATGGGGCCCGGGAGGCTCCGTCACAGGGACTGGACGCAGAACTGGCAGCGGGTCCAGGGGTCTGGGCCTCAGTGTCTGACTGTGGCTGGGCCGTGGGGTTCAGCTGTGCCTGGGCTATGGGATCCGATTGTGGCTGGGCCGTGGGATTCAGCTGTGCGTGGGCTATGGGATCCGATTGTGGCTGGGCCGTGGGATTCAGCTGTGCGTGGGCTGTGGGATCCGATCGTGGCTGGGCTGTGGGGTTCACCTGAGGCTGGGCCACAGGATCCATCTGTGGCTGGGCCTCCACCATCGGCCCTGGCAGAGCTGGGTCCTCAGAGTCCAGCTGGGTCTGTGGCTCAGCTGGTGTGAAGCTGCCTGGCCGTTCCTCACAGAGAGCTGCCGCGAAGGAAGAGAGCACGGAGCGCAGCAGGGCCCGGAGGTCGGCGCTAGCCATGAGGCAGAGGAAGGGGCTGAGGCAGCTGTTGAGCAGGATCAGGTAATCGGAGTAGACCAGGGCCTCCCAGAGCAGGTAGCCGGGGTAGATGTCCCACAGGAAAGCCAGATAGAGCAGCTGGGCCAGCTGGTATGGCAGCCGCAGGACCACGTAGGCTGACAGAATGGTCCTGGCCACACGGGCGAAGCCCCGGCAGGCTGTAGGCTGCGGTTGGTGGCGGCAGCTGTGACAGGCAAAGGCCTGGGTGAGCACGTGGCAGACCAGCAGCAGGAGGAAAGGCAGGAAGCCCCCCAGGACCTCCAGCATCCGCAGCGGCAGCTCCTCGCTGTCCCAGAAGTCCAGACAAATGACCAGGTCGTACCACCAGACCGTGGCCTCGGGAAAGACCAGCCAGGGCACACTGAAGAGCGTGGCCAGCACCCAGACCCCGGCACAGACCCAGAGGGGCAGGCGGGCAGGGCGGTGCCTCGGGTACCAATGTGGGCACAGCGCCAGCAGGCAGCGGTCCAGGCTGAGGGCGGCCAGCAGGAAGAGGCCAGAGGTGTAGGATACGCCCCACAGGAAGTAGTAGAAGCGGCAGGCAGCTGTCCCCAGTGGCCAGTGCCCTCCATGCTGGATCTCCAGGATCTGGAAGGCCGCTGCCGCCAGGAACAAGAAGTCAGAGAGGGCCAGGCTGAGCAGGAGCAGCGCCAGACGTGTGCCTGCTCCGTGCCGGGCCTGGGAGCCAGCCAGCCATGCCATCAGCCCATTGGCTGGCAGCCCAAGGAGCAGTAGAGCCACCAGGAAGACTGTGTCCCAGCCACCCTGGGGGTAGGAGTCCTCATCGTCCAGCTCCATTCGGGGCCTGTGGCCAGCGGTGGCACCCAGGTCGGCTTCCATAGCAGTGTGCATCTGGGGTCCCCAGAGCTCTGCTGGACACGGAGTGGTGCCTGGTGAGTCAATAACGGCGTGAATGACCGAGAATGGGAGAGATGGTGCAGTGCATCTCCCGGCGAGTCACAGCCCTCCCTGTGCCGTTGTCATTGCCTTTTGGGTAGTTAGCCTATGCCAAGGACTTGAAATGGATGATCGCAGGGAGTCCTCATACGATCTATGTTACAGGCGAGGAGAGGGGGGTTCAGAGAATCAGTGAAGGTAGGAAGGGAGAAGGCAGGGCTCAACCCAGACTGTTTTTTTTTGTTTTTTTTTTTTGAGACAGGGCCTTACTCTATTGCCCAGGATGGAGTGCAGTGGCACTATCCCTGCAGCCTCCACCTCCTGGGCTCCAGCTACCCTCCCACCTCAGCCTCCCTAGTAGCTGGGACTGCAGGTGTGCAGCCACTACTTTTAAAAATAGTACCCATGGCTGGGCGTGGTGGCTCACACCTGTAATCCCAGCACTTTGGGAGGCCGAGGTGGGTGGATCAGGAGGTCAAGAGATCGAGACCAACCTGGCCAACATGGTGAAACCCCGTCTCTACTAAATATACAAAAATTAGCTGGGTGTGGTGGCCCATGCCTGTAATCCCAGGTACACAGGAGGCAGAGGAAGGAGAATCGCTTGAACCCAGGAGGCAGAGGTTGTGGTGAGCCAGGATCATGCCACTGCACTCCAGCCTGGGTGACAGAGCAAGACTCTGTCTCAAAAAAAAAAAAGAAGAAAGGATAGCACCCATTACTATTTATTACTCTTTTTTTTCTTTTAGATGGAGTCTCACTCTGCTGCCCAGGCTAGAGTACGGTGGTATGATCTCGGCTCACTATAACCTCCACATGCTGGGTTAAAGTGATTCCTGGGCCTCAGCCTCCCAAGTAGCTGAGACTACTGACACGTGCCACCGGGCCTGGCTAATTTTTTTTTTTTTTTTTTTTTTGAGTTAGAGTCTCCCTCTGTTGCCAGGCTGGAGTGCAATGGCATGATCTCGGCCCAATGCAACCTCCGCCTCCTGGGTTCAAGCGATTCTCCTGCCTCGGCCTCCTGAGTAGTTGGGACTACAGGCACCTGCCACCACACCCAGCAAATTTTTGTATTTTTAGTAGAGATGGGGTTTCACCACGTTGGCCAGGCTGGTCTTGATCTCTCGACCTCGTGATCTGCTTGCTTTGGTCTCCCAAAGTGCTGGGATTACAGGCGTGAGCCACTGTGCCTGGCCAGCCAACTTTTTAAATTTTTAGCAGAGACAAGTTCTTGCTATGTTGCCCATGCTGGTTTTAAACTCATGAGCTCAAGCAGTCCTCCTACCTCGGACTTCTAAAGTGTTGAGATTACAGGCTTGATCCACCGTGCCCAGCTAGACTTCATCTCCTGCCATGTGGAATCCCAATGTGTCTGGGTAGACTAACCCAGAGGCTTCCAAAAATTGTTAAAGGGATGGAATTTTGTCTTTAAATAAAGTATTTTAGTAGAACTCCTATATGAACTAAAAGGGGGTGCTTCAACTAAGGGGGGAAGAGTACCCCCCCGTAGGGTTCCAGGGAACACAGTTTGAAGACCACTTGGTCTGCTCATCACAAGGCCCCTTTATGCCTGCTTTCCTGCGGTTCGAGTGTTTAGGATTCCAAGAAGGGAGGGCTCTCGTTCCCATAGGCCCAGGGGACCCAAAGGTAGGGAGTCTGTGGCAGTGGGAACCCCCTCCCCTCCGGTGAGTGTCATCATGGGTCTCAGGATGAGGTCCGGATCTCAGGACCCTGACAGCCTGGGGCCAGGAGGGCCATCCTGGGAGCCCCGGTGCCTTTCCAGCAGCTTCTGCCCCCCATGGCCCTCTCCCGCTTCCCACAGCTCAGGCAGGAGGTGACCCCTGTTTGTCTCCTGGAGCTGCTAAACAGAGAAGGGGAGGGGCTCTGCAGTGGGATGACGGTGAGGGCAAGGGCAATTGGGGGGCACCCAGACCTGGGATGCAAGAGGCCTGCAGCCCCACCTTGCCCTCCCTGCTGGCAGAGGGCCCTGAGAGCCCAGGTGGTGGTGCAGCCCGGGGACGGAATGGATGCCCCCAGGCCCAGGCTCCAGCCACTTGGTCTTGTACCCGCAGCGCTCCTCCTCCAGCTTACCCCCCTCTGCTGTCTCCATTCCCTGTTGGATCAGAGCCCAGGCATCCCCAGCCCCAGGCCCTGACCAGTGAGGCCTGGCTTACCTGGGAGGCTCAGGCCGATGGGCGGAAGGAGCAGGGCGTGCCTGCCTGCCCAGTGCTCGAGCTGTCTCCCCGGCCCTCACCGGGGCCTCCTGTGTGGCGCCTGGCAGCGCTAAGGCGGGTGGGCAGGAAACCCAAGCTGAGAGGACATCAATCATTCATAGGGCTGCTTGCCGGGAAACCCTAACCCTGGCCCAGTAGGGCCAAGTGACCAGCCAGACCCCCTCCCCCAGCCCTCACGAGCCTGGAGAGTCAGACCCTCCTCCCCCAGGCCACTCCGGCCCACCTCCTCCCACATCACCCCCTGTGCCCCTCAACCCAGCATTTGAGGCATCTGTGATCTGGCCTCTTCCTCCATTTCACATGCCCTCTGCTCTGGGCAGGACGTCACCCGTGGGGGGCCTCTGTGGACCACTTGCTCATCCTTTCCCACCTCCCAGCCGTTGTCCAAGTGCTTCCTCCCTCCTAAGATGCCTTCCCTGGTCGTGTGTCTAACAAAGGCCTCCACCCGTTTCACACAGCCGGGCTGAGTCCTCCGCACCCTGGCTTTATTCCCCACATCTTATAGATGGGGAACCTGAGGTTGGGAGGGGAGTTTGCTGGGTCTCCTGACTAATAAGTAGCAGGTCTGGCATCTGAGGCTCATGGCAGCCACCATGTCCCGGTGCCCTTTGCTTCTGACCAAGGACAGTTCTCTGGACCCATCTGGCTCTGCCATGGCCAGCCCTGGAGCAGAGCACTGGGATTAGGGCCGGGGCTGCCTGCCTCACTTACCCTAATCCCCCTCAGAGCCCGATCTTAGGCTCCCAGCTCTAAGAATGGGGGTGCATAAGCAGCTTTATGAGTCCTGAGAGCCAAGGGTGCCCAGGAGTGCTGTGTCTCTGAGCCCCGTCATCCCTCCCCCATGGCCACAGAGCAGGTGAGTGGGCAGCATGGCCCAGACCCAGCCCCTGGCCCTCAGAAGACCCCTGTGACTCCCAAGAGTGATGCAGAGGAGCCCCCGATGACCAGGAAGAGGAGCAAGAAGGAGAGGGGGCTCCAAGGGTCCCGGAAGCGCGCTGGCAGCTCTGGGGACCAGGCAGGCCCGGAGGCCCCAGGGAGCAGCAAGAACCCTCCCAGGACTGGAGAGGGGCCCGCAGGGGTACCCCCTGCATCCCCTGGGCCAGCCTCTTCACGCCAGTCCCACCGACATCGTCCTGACTCCCGGCACGACGCTGCTCAGAGGACATACGGGCCCCTGCTCAATCGAGTCTTCGGGAAGGTTAGGTGGAACCTGGGTGGGCCTGGGGGTCCTGGGGGTGGGGCTGGAGACACACCCCTGGGGCTCAGCCCACCCTACGCCTGGGAGGCCCTCTGCCTCTTCTGCCCCAGACCGAACCTGGGCTGTGGGATTGTGTTGCTTCGGTTTGGAGAAGGGTGGGTTTCTGGCCGGCATGGGCGTAGGCAGAGCCAGAACTCGCACCAGGGCTCTGTGGGAGCTCCAGGCCCCAGGAGCACGAAAGGGAGCTTGCTTCTCCCGGGACATACGAGGCTTCAGCGTCCTTTCCCTGCCCTGGTGTGGCTGGCCCTGGCCAAGCCAGCATGAGCAGGGGATGGAGGAGGAAGGGTGACAGAGCCACAGCTGGCCCTGGGGACACGGCGGACTCTCCCCATGCAGGACCGAGAGCTGGGCCCGGAGGAGTTAGACGGTGAGTGGCTCTTGCGGCTGGCGGGGGCAGGAGCTGTCCCTGAGCCTGGCCACCTGGGCCTGACCTCCCTCCCCCACAGAGCTTCAGGCTGCCTTCGAGGAGTTTGACACCGACCATGACGGCTACATCAGCCACCGGGAGCTGGGCGACTGCATGCGGATCCTGGGCTACATGCCCACGGAGATGGAGCTCCTGGAGGTCTCCCAGCACATCAAGATGCGCAGTGAGTGCCGGGCCCCGCCCACCCGGCAGCCTGTGCTTCTCTGGGCTGCGTGGTTCAGAGGGATCATGAGGGGCTGGCAGGAGATGGCCCTTGGGAGGCCATCAGGGTGGCGGTGGGAGTGAGGGAGAGTGATGGTTTCCAGGTGAGGGCACTGGGTCCAAACTCCTGCTTCTCTGTGTGGGAAGGCAGGCCAGGAAGGCCACCCTAGAGACCCAGGAGGGCCCCTTGGGGCTCAGGTTGAGGACCTTGCTGGGGATATCTGTTGCCATGGCCCGTGCGCACATTCACTCCTTCCACCTGAGCCCTTCCTGCCTCGCTGGCCCAGGGGCCCCGACTCAGCGATAAAGTGCTCTCCGCTGACACTAGTCACCTGGCACCCTCTCTCTTTCTCTCTCTTTCTGTGACTCTGCCCCATTCCTGTTCCCTGGTGGCAGCTGCCTGAATCGGGGTCGCTCTGGCGGGAGAGGACCCCAGCTGCGCCTTGCGACTAGGTGTCTGATGGCAGGCACGGTGCGGTTACCTTTCGACGGTTTGTCCTCAGGCAAAGCTCAGACTCACTTCATTCCGGGACTCCTGCATTTTCTCCATACAATTTCCAACATGGGGATGTGATTTATAGCTGATGTGGATATCTGGTGTTGTGGCAAAGCTGTTGCGTGACCATGGGTGTTTGTGTGACTGATGGCATCTTAGAACTGAGGCACAGACTACAAGGGTGTGTCCGGAAGTGGCCCTGATTGCTGCCCACTGGGCTCCAGCACTTCGTGGCTGTGAACCTGAACCCCAGCAGCACCCCCACGGAGTAGGCTCCCCACCCTGCCCCTAGGATGAGGAAGGGAGGGTAAGTCAGCCAGTACCACACACAGCAGCAGGGTCAAGATCTGAACCTGGGACTATCTGGTCCAAAGCCTGGTCTCTTCCTAGCACACTAGGGTTCTTCGCTAAGAGCAGAAGCAGCCCCGGCATCCCAGCAGCCGAGGATGGGGGTTCCAGCCTCCTTTCTGCTGCAGGCGCCAACCTGGTTGTTTCTTCCTAGGTGCAGAGCCTGGGGGTGGGGGTGCTTGGCCTGGGGGGTGTCCCTCCTTGGGCTTCAGCCCTCATGCCCTCACCATTGTGACACTCTGCCTGGGTCCGCAGTGGGTGGCCGTGTGGACTTTGAGGAGTTTGTGGAACTGATAGGCCCAAAGCTGAGGGAGGAGACGGCGCACATGCTGGGGGTGCGGGAGCTGCGCATCGCCTTCCGAGAGGTGGGAGCGTGGTGCGGTGGGCAGAGGGGGTCAGGGCTGGGTGGCATCTTTGCTGGCCTCTCACTCAGGTCTCAGCCTCAGGAAGGCCCAGAGCCCTGCAGGCGGTGGGACTGGGGCCTGGCAATGGGTCAGAGAGGGTTCAGCTCACTCCCAGCTAGGGGATCCATCCAGGGGACTTCCTGGACCAGGCGGCAAACCACCTTGGCGTGGGAGGTTGGGGAAGGTGTGCATGGGCGGAGACGGTGGACAGGGGAGCATCTAGGCACAGGCAGTGGTAAGAGTGGAGCTGTCTGCAGGCTGAGGCAGCTTTGGGTGGGAGGGGCTGAGCCTTGCGGGGACCCTAGTTTGACAGGGACAGGGATGGACGAATTACCGTGCCAGAGCTGCGGGAGGCAGTGCCGGCTCTGCTCGGGGAGCCACTGGCGGGTCCTGAGCTGGACGAGATGCTCCGAGAAGTGGACCTCAATGGGGATGGCACCGTAGACTTTGATGGTGAGTCTCCTTTCTGGAAAACCTTGGACAGCCTCCCAGGGCCCAGGCTGAGCCCAGCACCTCCTGGGACCCCTGACGTGGACCGGCTCAAGCCCTGCCCTTCTCTCCCGCAGAGTTTGTGATGATGCTCTCCCGCCACTGAGGCTCCAGGAGGGTGTATCTGTTGCCCCCGGACCCCAGATACCAGCAGGACCCAGGCTGCGCCCCTTCTCCCAGGAGGTGCCAGGATGGAGATGGAAGGGACCCAACAGCCCCCAGACTTCTTCTATCCCTGAAAACACCTGGCCTCAAGGTCTGCTTGTTATGTCATTCACACAGCCTCATCCTCACCTCCCCCGACTCAAGCTGCCTCAGCTCTCAGCTGCCCACCGTTCCTCAGTGTGAGCAAGATTTGGGTCCCTCCAGAGCCCTGAAACAGGGAGTTCCCTGGCAGTGGCAGCGTTCAGTGCCTCCCCCGCCAAGTGGCATGATGAACTGAGAGGGTGGCTGGACCCCTCCTGCTACTTATGTTTATAAACTTTTTTTTTTGAGATGGAGTCTTGATCTGTAGCCACGGCTGGAGTGCAGTGGTGCAATTTCAGCTCACCGCAACCTCCGCCTCCTGGGTCTGGTTCAAGCAATTCTCCTACCTCAGCCTCCCAAAGTGCTGGGATTACAGGCATGAGCCACCATGCCCAGCTAATTTGGGTATTTTTTAGTAGAGACGGGGTTTCACCATGTTGGCCAGTCTGGTCTCGAACTCCTGACCTCGTGATCTGCCTGCCTCAGCCTCCAAAAGTGCTGGGATTACAGGTGTGAGCCACCATGCCCAGCCTATACATGTTTTTTTTTTTTCGTGAACTTGAGCCAGGTGTGGTGGCTGACACTTGTAATCCCCGCTGTTACTAAGGGGCAGAGGTGGGAGGATACCTTGAGCCCAGGAGATCGAGAGACCTGCCTGGACAACATAGCGAAACCCATTCTCAACAAAAAAGAAAAAAAAAAAAATAAGGAAAAACAAGTGAACTTGAAAGAAAGGGATGGCCCAATGTATCAAAGACAAAGAGAGAAACTGAAGCTGGGACTGTAGGAGCTGATCCCGTGGGGGTTTCAGATGCAGAGAGGGCCTTGGGCGCCTAGGCTCCTACACCCATAAGTGACAGAAGAACTGGGGAGAAAGAAACAAACATTCCACGGTCTCTAAAGGCTAAGATATGAATCTGTCTGCACCGACCAGTAGGAGTGAGGATACAAACGTTCAGGGTCGGGAGTGGAAAGAGCTGCTCTAGAGAGCCCGGAACTCCAGGGTCTGCCCTTCAAGCAGGGCATCGTCTATCTTCGGGTGTGAAAAGCTGAAAACGACTGGAAAACCCCCTGCTGAGCAGAGGTACACTTTCAACCCACCTGGGCACATGGAACTTCTAAAAACAAAAGCAAACCCCAAAAACCCTGCTGTTCCCAAGGGTGAACTCGTGATGAAAACTACAGATTACTGGGCCAGAAGTGGTGGCTCACGCCTGTAATCCTAGCACTTTGGGAGGCCAAGGCAGGTGAACCTTCTGAGGTCAGGAGTTGGAGACCAGCCTGGCCAACCCAGGTGAGATGGTGTGAAACCCTGTCTCTACTAAAAATACAAAAATTAGCTGGGCGTGGTGGTGTGCACCTATAATCCCAGCTACTCTGGAGGCTGAGTCAGGAGAATCGCTTGAACCTGGGAGGCGGAGGCTGCAGCCAGCTGAGATCGTGTCATTGCACCCCAGCCTGAGTGACAGAGAGAGACTCTGTCTCAAAAACAAAACAAAACCAACCTACAGATTATAAAAGTAAAGAACCACCACGAGGGAGCGGAGGCAGAGACAAAAACAAGAGGACTGGCGTCTCCGTGTCCATCACACAGCTGCCTAAGAGACCACAAGACACACGCAAAGAAAAGAGGGCTGAAAGGGGAAGAGACCAGCGTGCAGTAACAGGATGGTACAGAGAGAACCAGAAGATTTAAAAAGTAACCCAACAGGCCAGGCGTGTGGCTCACGCCTGTAATCCCAGCACTTTGGGAGGCCCAGGCAGGTGGATTACTTGAGTTCAGGAGTTTGAGACCGGCCTGGGCGACATGGTGAAACCCTGTTTCTACTAAAAGTACAAAAATTAGCCGGGCGTGGTGGTGCTCGCATCTGTAGTCCCAGCTACTCTGCAGGTTGAGGTGGGAGGATCGTTTGAGCCCAGGAGGCAGAGGTTGCAGTGAGCAGAGATTGAACCACTGTACTCCAGCCTGGGTAACAGAGTGAGAATCCGTCTCAAAAAAAAAAAAAAAAAAAAAAATTAATGGATAAGCTAAAGAGCAGATTAAACACAATTTAAAGAAGATTAATGAACTGGAAGCTAGATCTGAGAAATGACTTATAATGTAACACTGAGAAACAAAAAGATGGAAACATTTAAGGGTAACTAAACGTCACTGGAAGACTGGGTGTGGTGGCTCATGCCTGTAATCCCAGCATTTTGGGAGGCTGAGGCAGGAAGATCACTTGAGGCCAGGAGACCAGCTGGGCAAACATAGCAAGACCCTGCCTCTACAAAAATATTTAAAATAAATAAATAGGCTGGGCGAGGTGGCTCACGCCTGTAATTCCAGCATTTTGGGAGGCCAAGGTGGGCGGATCACCTGAGGTCAGGAGTTCGAGACCACCCTGGCCAACACAGTGAAACCCTGTCTTACAAAATAAATAAAAACAAACAAATAAATAAATAACTTAAAAAGCTGGGTGTGGTGGCTCATGCTTGTAGTCCCAGCTATTCAGGAGCCTGAGGTGGGAGGATCACTTGAGCCCAGGAGTTGGAGGCTGCAGTGAGCTGTGATTGGGCCACTGCACTCCAGCCTTGGTGACAGAGTGAGACCTGTTTCAAAGAAAAAGAAAGGGAAGTCCTTGGGAGTCTCAGAGGAGGAAATATTTAGAGACTAGGCAAGAAGCGATAATCAAAGAGACAGTGGCTGAAGATTTTCCATAAAGACTTCCACAGACTTCAAGTCCCCGGATTGAAGGAACAAGCTGAAGTCAGAGTAGGGTAAATAAAAATAAATGTGTATCTGGATACATCCCACTGAAACTGCAGAATACAAAAAGAAAATCTTATAAATAACTGGAGTGAAAAGTCAGATTCATGGTGTTCCATCAAAGTGTTCATGTAGACTAGAGTCAGGACACTTTCCGTAAAGGGCTGGACAGTAATTATTTCAGGCTTTGAGGCTTCCGTCTCTGTTGCAGCTGCCCACGCAACTCTTGTCGAAGTTTGTAGTGCAAAGCAAAGTTATCAACGAATGAGTGGCCATGTCAGAAATTTAATAAATAAAACTTCATTTATTGACATGGAAATTTGAATTTTATATAATTTTATATCATAAAATCTTATTATTCCTTCACTTTTCCCCAACCATTACAAAATATAAAAACCATTCTGTGCATTTTGTGGACTATACTTTGCTGACTCCTATTTTTGGTTTTTGAGAGAGTCTGGCTTTGTTGCCCAAGCTGGAGTGCAGTGGCGCTGTCTCGACTTGCTGCGACCTCCACCTCCTGAGTTCAAGCAATTCTTTAACCTCAACCTCCCATGTAGCTGTGAATGTCACCATGCCCGGCTAATTCTTTGTATTTTTGGTAGAGATGGGGTTTCACCATATTGGCCAGGCTGGTCTCGAACTCCAGGCCTCAAGTGATCCACCCGCCTTGGCCTCACAAAGTGCTGGGATTTCAGGCGTGAGCCATCACGCCCGGCCCACCTTGCTGATTCCTAATGCAGACTTCTAACGATGGGAATCATCACTTCTGAAATCACGTTCTGTTAAATTGTGGAATGAGGTCAGGTGAGGTGGCTTAGGGGTTCGATACCAGCCTGGCCAACATAGTGAAACCCTGTCTCTACTAAAAAATACAAAAATTAGCTGGGCATGGTGGTATGCACCTGTAGTGTCAGCTACTGGGGAGGCTGAGGCATGAGAATTGCTTAAACCGGGAGGCAGAGAATGCAGTGAACTAAAATTGTGACACTGCACTCCAGCCTGGGAGACAGAGAGACACAGTCTCAAAAAAAAAGACAAAAAAACTGGAATAATAAAAAGTTGTTAAATATAGTTGTGATTCTGTGTTGTGTAAAATTGTTTGCTCATATTCAATGCATGCTTTTTGTCATTTTTCCTTTTTCATGTTTGTTCTATTTATTGAAATGTAATTTTATGGCTAATTAATCTGATAAACTGTGGACTTGTATTCTATGGGTTTTTTTTTTTTTTTTTTTTTTTGATATGAAGTCTCACCGTGTCACCCAGGCTGGAGTGCAGTGGTGAGATCTCAGCTCACTGCCACCTCTGCCTCCCGGGTTCAAGTAATTCTCCTGCCTCAGCCTCCTGAGTAGCTGGGATTACAGGTGCGCACCACCATGCCTGGCTAATATTTTTTGTATTTCTGGTAGAGATGGGGTTTCACCATGTTGGTCAGGCTGGTCTTGAACTCCTGAACTTGTGATCTGCCTGCCTCAGCTTTCCAAAGTGCTGGGATTCCAGACATAAGCCACTGCGCCCGGCCTCTGTATATTTCATTTTTCTAGTTTTTGAAATTTGTATGTTACTGTATTATATTTTTGAGATAGGCCTCACTCTATCTTCCAGGCTGGAGTGTAGTGGTGCAATCATGACTCACTGCAGCCTCCCAGGCTCAGTGCTCCTCCCACCCCAGGCCCCCAAGTAGCTGCGACTACAGGCGCCCCACCATGCCTGGGTAATTTTTGTATTTTTTGTAGAGACGGGGTTTCGCCATGTTCCCCAGGTTGGTCTCAAACTCCTGGGCTCAAGTGATCCTCCCACCTTGGCCTCTCAAAGTGCTGGGATTACAGGCGTGAGCCACCAGGCTTGGCTAGTTCTTATGAAAGTACTGGACCATGATGGGTTAGAAATGAAAACGGCCCTTTACCACAGCTAGTTGGGGGACCACTGGTTTAGGAGTTCCTGCATCCAATGGGTGCCCCCAAAATGCCTTGAATGTGGAATGAGGATGGGAAGTCTGCAGAGGCTGGAAAGGTGGGAGCAAGAGCCGGGGCCTGGGTGTCCATTCACCTAACTCACAGAACCCTGAAGGCCCTGCTATGCTGGCTGCCGCAGACAGTGGTTTGTGGGACATGTTTCAGTGGGGAGATAGACTTCAGACAGGTGCATCAACAGGGCATCCCAACCTGCGCTCAGTCGACCAGCCTCTTGAGTGGCCGGTAGGGGAGATCAGCTGCTCAGTGTCCACCTCCTCCCTCTCCTGCAGTGTCATGGAAAGAGCCCTGGGCCAGAGAGATGGAACCCTGGGTTATGTTCCTAATTCTACCTACCACCCGCTGGCTGTCCTTGGGCAAGTCAGTCCTCCTCTGTCAAATGGGACTGAGGTAGTGAAGATTATAAGATATAATCCATGTTCAGTGCTTAGCACCGGACCTGTTACCTTTTTTTTTTTTCTTTTCTTTTTTAAAGAGAAACTGGGGTCTCGCCATGTTGCCCAGGTTGGTCTCGAACTCCTGGGCTCAAGTGATCCTCCCACCTAGGCCTCTCAAAGTGCTAGGATTATAGGCTTGAGCCACTGCACCCAGTCATCCTGGTGTCTTTTAAAAACTTAATGACTGCTAGCTACTATGATCTCAGATTTCAGTCTTCTCAAAGGTTCTGTTTCTTGATTCCTAAGATTCTGAAATGCTCTGATTTTCCAAAATTCTGAGATGGTTTGTTTCCAACATTCTGCATTTCTAAATCTTTGATCACTAAGGGTGCCTGTCAGGCCTGGCTTCCCAGGCCTTCTGCCCCCAGGTTCTCCCAATCTCTGGGACTGGGAAGGAGGGCAGTGGGTGGAGGGGGGCTGAACCACTGCCTTGGCATGGCCCACATTCAGGGCTGGCTGTGGCAGCCCAGGGCCCCAGAGCCAGGCTGGAACTAGGATACCAGCCTCCAGGGCCCAGGCCTGCGTCATCTCGGAGTGCTCTCAGCCAGGGCCACCAGACAGAGTCGGGCTGGTTGAGTCGTCTAAGGGCTGGGGGCGGGGCAGGCTGTTCTAGCCTCCTCCAGGCGGGCAAGGCAGGAGTCCTCCGCCTTGCTCTACCTCTAACATGCCCCATGCCCTTGGGCAAGCCTCAGCATCAGGGCTGCCACGTGTTCGGTGGTACTCAAGCCCCTCAGCCTCAGGGTCAGTCCTTTTCTCAGCCTTCGTGGGAGGGGCTGTGGTCAGGCTGGTGGGCTGAGCCAGCGGAGGCAGGACAGGAGAGCAATTGCCTCCGGTGGAACTAATTACTCCTTTATTAGCACGAAATAACAGACCTAGCGGCCGCAGGGCCTGAGAATAAGTTAAGGCACAGAGCAGGCGGGGCGGCTTTCCCAGGGCCAGGCCTGCATGCCCCAAACTTCCTGAGCAAACTCCCCAGTGGCCAGGGTTTCGAGGGTCCTGGAGAGCCTCTTCCCTTGAGATGAGGGGAACGGAACAGGGCGCGGGTCCCAGGGGCGCCCCCGTGGACGGGAGGAGCCCACGCTGCGCCACAGTCACTTCTCGAAGTATGGCAGGTAGAAGAACTGGAAGCCCCGGTGGCCCCTGACCGCGCAGTAGATGAAGATCACGTGATAAACTGTGGGGCGGGGCCTGTGAGTGCCTGGGCCACGCCCCCTGTGTGGCCCCCCCGCCCCCTTACCCCGCCCCTTCCGCTCCGCCCCTCCCCGCCCCGGCGCCCTCTCGCACCTCCAGGTACCAACAACAGGAAGCCAGGCACGAAGAAGATGGCGCTGGAGACACCTGCGGGAGAGACCGGAGGCCGGTCAGGGCGAGGGGGCGCGGGGCTGCGAGGCCCTCCGGGCTGCCGCTGACTGCCCGGCCAAGCCTCACTCTCGGCTGAAAAGGGGCCGTGTCCTGCCGGGAGGTGGGAGGGCTTGCCATGGACCCGTGGACACAAGAAGGGGTGTCCACTGCCTGTGGAGGCGGGAGGGGGCGCTCACCTGGAGAGGGGGTCGCCTCCAGTCCCACGCCGACCAGGATCAGCACTGCACACAGATGGAGCCGCGGGGGTGGGGGCAGGAGCAGGGGTGAGGGCGGCGACTCCCACCCCCAGCCCGGCTCAGCCCTAAGGAATGATGCCCCCCACCACCTGAGCGGAAGGTCCCCAGGCAGAGACCCACCAAGGAAGCTCACCAAGCTCTCTCTACAGAGCAGGGCACTGAGCAGGCCCTGGGAAGTGTGTGAAAGGAGAGATTTTTATTTGCTCCTTGGGTTGGGCTTTGAGTCCTTCAACAAACATTTGTGGAGCACCTCCTGCGTGCCTGGTACGAGGAATTACGCCTTTAAGGGCTGATAAGGCCCCTGCCCTCATGGCCCGTCCTTAGCGGAGGAACCACTAAGAAGCTGAAAGCTACAGTCCAGGTGATTGGGATATGGGGGGTAAGAACAGGGGAGTGCAGGAGTCCTGGGTCCCCAGTTAGAAATAGGGGAACGGGGAGCTGGACTGTGCGCTGTACAGCAAGCGGGGGCAGTAAGCCTGGGGGCTAACATGGACTACTGTGTGCTTTGTGCATTGCCCAGACCACTTCAAAAAGGGTATGATGGGCTGGGTGCGGTGGCTCATGCCTGTAATCCCAGTGCTTCAGGGGGCCAAGGCAGGAAGATTGATTGAGGCCAGGAGTTTGAAGCCAGCCTGGGCAACATAGCAAGAGTCCCATCTATAAAAAGTTTTTAAAAAAATGAGCCCAGCCCAGGCATGGTGGCTCATGCCTATAATCCCAGCACTTTGGGAGGCCAAGCTGGGAGGATCACTTGAGTTCAGGAGTTCAAGACCAGCCTAGGCAACCTAGTGAGACCTTGTCTCTATTATTATTAAAAAAGAAAAAAAAAATTACCCAAGCATGGTGGTACATGCCTGTAGTCCCGGCTGCTAGGGAGGCTGAGCTGGGAGGATGGCTTGAGTCCAAGAGTTTGAGGCTGCCGTGATCATAACAGCACTCCAGCTTGGACAACAGAACAAGACCCTGTCTCAAAAAAAAAAAAAAAAAAAAAAATAGCTGGGCATGGTAGCTCACGCCTGCAATCCCAACACTTTGGGAAGCCAAGGTGGGTCAATCACCTGAGGCCAACATGGTGAAACCCCATCTCTACTAAGAAAATACAAAAAATTAGCCAGGTGTGATGGCACGTGCCTGTAATCCCAGCTACTCTGGAGGCTGAGGCATGAGACTCACTTGAACCCAGGAGGCGGAGGTTGCAGTGAGCTTAGAGCTCGTCACTGCATTCCTGCCTGAGCAACAGAGCAAGATTCCTCAAAAAAAGAAAAAAAAAGGGTATAGGGTATGATGGGGATGATGTGGGCTGAAACTCACTCCCTGCACCCTAGAAAGGCCCCCTAAGGAGCTCTGGTGACCCCAGGCTTGCCTTGCTGGGTTTGAGAGAGGAAAAATGAAGAACTTGGCAGTGCCACCAGGGCCTGTGTACAGCGGCCCTGGGAAATGGCAGCCCCCTCCCTGTGCTGGGAGCCTGGCTGGCTGGGGAGCCTTGGCCTTCCTGGAGAAGGGGGAAGGTGAGCCAGGGCGGCAGCCACACTCGGTCCCTCCTTATGGATCACTCGTTACCTCAACCCTGCATCCTTTCTGGAGACTCTGCATCCTCAGCCCCAAAGCATGAGGCACCTTGGAGTCAGAGAACACCTGGTATGAGATCTGCCTGCTCTGGCAAGACCAGAAGTTCCCCCATCTGAGTAATGGTTAGGAGGTAGGAGAGGGGTGGGCTTGTCAGTGCTCAGATGCCCGACAAGGGGAAGTGCCAGGTGCCCTGTGGTTCTGCACTGGCCGGGCACTTGGCATTCCTGAGCCCCCACACCTGGCTTCTGGGCACCACCTCACTTGTAGGACTTCTGCAAGGTGAGAAAATAAAACTGCCCTCCACCTGGCCCAAAGTGGACACACAATAAATGGTAGCTGCTACTCTTCTGTCCCCTAAAAATAAAGGAAAAGTCTTTGGAGTGATAAGCCCAGTTCCATTTTCAGCTATGTGTGATCTCCTGGCTGTGTGCCCAGGTGGCAAGGCCTCTGTCTCCTCACCTGTAAAATGGGGGTGTGGTGATGGCAGCCAGCTGCTGCCTCAGGATGCTGGGAGGCTGTGTCAAGGGGAGGGCAGAGCCTCCCACGGGTCCCCTCCAGACCCCAACCCTCAGGGCCACTCACCCAGCCCCAGCAGCAGGAGCAGGAAGGAGGCCAGCACCACTCGGCGGTTCTTCTGGATCAAAGGGTGTTGGGTCCAGCTGAGTGGCAGGAGAGCAGGGTGGGTGTGAAGGAGGTGGGCGGAGGGTGTGTGGGAGGCTTTGGGGGCAGAGCCAGGGCTGCCTGGCTGGGGGCTCCAGCGGGCAGGGCTCACCTGCAGCAGGTGTTGTAGGAGCGCTGGGTACCGCTGCTGATGGTGCTGAAGGACCACTGGGAGCTTCGGATGGAAGTCCGGCCAGAATCCCTGCAGGACAGGTGCCCAGGGAGGGGCAGGGGGCAAGGACAGGTGCCCAGGGAGGGGCAGGGGGCAAGGACAGGTGTCCCTTTGGGACAGGAGTCCTATAAAGTGCAAGGCGTGGTACAGGGACTGGGGCTGGGCCCTGAGAGGCCCTGGTGGGTGAGGATGAATTCAGGGGCTGGGGGAGGTGAGGAATGAGCTTGGGATTTCTGTAGGACAGGTGACCTCTATGATGATGGGGGCCAGACCAGACGGGTTTCTGAAAGAGGTGAGTGTGGCTGGGCACTAGGGTAGAGTGGCCCTGCAGTGTAGGGGACCCGGCCAGGGGAGTGAGAGTTAGGCTAGGAATCAGTAGAAGAGAGTGAGTGAAGTCGGGTGGGCGACTGAGCCGGGTCCGAGGACAGGAGCCTGATGCACGAAGCTGGGGTACAGGGGCGGGTCCCCACCTGGCTCTAACCTGGTGCTGACTCCCCCATCCGGCTCCGGAGAGGCCTGGGCTCCGTCCTCATCATTCTCCAGGTTCTGTGGCAGAACACAGGGCTCAGGGGGGGTTGCTGGGCTGGGGCCCTTCCTCACTCTCCGGGGGAGAAAATAGGTCTACATAAGCGTTTGCCTGGCAGCTGCTCACCAGGCCTTCTGCCCTCCCCGCAGAACGGGTTTGGTGATTCACAGAAACCGAAACTAGGTAGGAGGTGGGTGGATTCGGGGGCTTTGGGGAGCAGGAGCTGCACGGGTCCCAGGGAAAGAACTCCCAACTTTGGGAGTCAGGGTGGAAATCTCATTCAGTGGCCTAGGATGGGAGCTGGGGGATTGGGGTGCCAGGGAAGAGCAGGCCCAGGATTCTCAGGTTCAAGGCACAGGGATCTGGTCCCTGTGTGTCTCCAAGAAAAGGAGCCTAGGGTTCGTGGAGGTTTTCTGGGAAAATGCGGATTTCCGGTTTAGTGGGAGCCAAAGGGTGGGCAAGGACTGGTCATGTGAGAGGGGCTTCAGCTTTTGCGGGTGGTGCCGGGATTGGGGTGAGGGCTGTCTGAATAGAGAAAGGTGTGCGGGTTCCCCTCAGCTTAGCTGGCCTGGGGCACAGGGGATGCTCCTGCGTGTGGGCAAGGTCTGGTTCAGATACAGAGGAGGTCCCCCAGCACAGTGGGGGCCAAGAGCGAGTACTGGGTGGGGACTCCCGCTGGGTTCTCCAGCTGGAGCTGAGGGATGAGCTCCCGGGCCAGGGCTCCGGGCTCTTCCCGGCTGGCTGGGGCCGGGTATCGGTGCTGGGAGGGCCTGGGCAGGGCTCTGGATCAGGAGTCACGTCCGGGGGGCGGTCTCGCGCTCCAGCTGGGGACTCTAGGCAGATTCTACCCCAAGTTGAGGCCTTTGAGGCCCGGCCTGGGGTCCCGTCCGGCCGGGGGCAGCGGGTGAGGTGGGCCGGGCGGTTCACCTGGTAGCGCAGCCGGGACTGCTTGTCCTCGTCAGCCACTTCGAACCGGGCCCGGCGCTCGAAATGCAGTGGCCCAAAGCGCGCGACCCCGCTGGGCTCCGCCCCAGGGCCCGCATCCTCCAGGGACAGCTCGAAGGCGTCATCTATGCTGAATTGGGGCCGGGCGGCACTCATTGCCCCGGCCCGCTCAGGCGCCCTGCGCCACCGCCATCTGCGCCCGCACGCCCAGCGTCGCCACGGCCCCGCCCCCGCGAGCCCCGCCCGCGAAGGTCCTGGCTCCGCCCCACGCGCCGTCCCCGTCCTGGTCCCCGTCTGCCCTCAGCAGGCTAGAGCTGCCGAGCGCCGAGCGGGCGGATGGGTGGGGACTCTTCTAGACGGAGCTCGCTCGGCTCGTGACGCCGCTCAGCGGCCGCCGTGGCGAGCGACACATCGTCTCGCGCTCGGACACACTCCCCAGGCCTATAGGGGCTTCCACGCCTCAACCTCCAGGTCTCGTACAGGGCCTTTTGCACCCCTGTTCCTCGAGTGCCAGGAGACTCCTGAGAACTGTTTCCCCACCTATTCACCACAGCCCAGCACGGGAGGGGTGCTCGCCCCATTTTTGCAGATGTGGAAACTGAGGCTCGAAGAGGTTTTGTAGCTTACACTTCTCCAGTCCGATCCCCACGCAGCAGCCAAAGTGATCTTTTAAAACAAATCTTTTGGCCGGGCGCGGTGGCTCACGCCTGTAATCCCGGCACTTTGGGAGGCCAAGGCGGGTGGATCACAAGGTCAGGAGATCGAGACCATCCTGGTCAACATGGTGAAACCCCGTCTCTACTAAAAATACAAAAAATTAGCTGGGCATGGTGGTGCTCGCCTGTAGTCCCAGCTACTCGGGAGGCTGAGGCAGGAGAATTGCTTGAACCCGGGAGACGGAGGTTGCAGTGAGCCGAGATCGTGCCATTGCACTCCAGCCTGGGTAACAAGAGCGAAATTCCGTCTCAAAAAAAAAAAAAAAAAAAGAAAGAAAGAAAAGAAAAAAATGCTGCTAAGTCTCTCTACTTAAAACCTTCCCTTGGTTTTCCATTGCACTTAGAATAAAATCTGAACTCTTGGCTGGGCGCAGTGGCTCACGCCTGTAATCATAGCCCTTTGGGAGGCCAAGGCGAGTAGATCACTTAAAGTCAGCAGTGCGAAACCAGCGTAGCTGACTTGGTGAAACCCCATCTCTACTAAAAATACAAAAGTTAGGATGGGCACAGTGGCTCACCCCTGTAATCCCAGCACTTTGGGTGGCCGAGGCGGGCGGATCACCTGAGATCAGGAGTTTGAGACCAGCCTGGCCAACTTGGTGAAACTCCGTCTCTACTAAAAATACAAAACTTAGCCGATCGTGGTGACTGATGGGCGCCTATAATCCCAGCTACTCAGGAGGCTGAGACAGGAGAATCGCCTGAACTCAGGAGGCAGAGGTTGCAGTGAGCCAAGATCACGTCACTGCACTCTCCAGCCTAGGTGACAGAGTGAGAGACTGTCTCAGAAAAAAAAAAAAAAAAAAATTAGCTGGGTGTGGTGGCACATGCCTGAGGCAGGAGAATTGCTTGAACCCAGGAATAGGAGGTTGCAATGAGCTGAGATCATCCCACTGCACTCCATTTCAGGCAACTGAGCAAGACTCCCTCAAAAAAAAGAAAAAAATCTGAACTCTTGACTAAGGTCCATAAAGCTCTGAAGGCTGTGGGAACTGCCTGCCCCTCCCAGGCTCATCAGGGTCCCCCGCTGCCCCTTTCCTCCCTGCTCAGCCACACTGGCTTTCTCGCATTCTTCCTCCACAGGCCAAGCTGCTTTCCGTCTTGTGGCCTTTGTACCTGCTGTCCCCTGGTGCCAGGAAAACACTTAGCCTTGGTTTTATCATAGCTGGCTCCCTTCATCCTGGGGATCTCTGCTCAAATGTCACTTCTTGGAAATGCCATCCTTGACTGCACAATCTAAAGTCAGTTTTGCATCACGCAGCACTTGAAATTACCTCATTTTGCACTGTTTTATTCACCACTGTATCTACTGTGCCCACAACAGTGTTTGGCCCTAAGTAGATGCTTAATAAATACTTGTGGCAGAAATGAATGAGGGGTTTGCCAAAGTCCCAACTACTTGCAAATGGCAGAACAGAGATTTGAACCCAGCTCCACCTACTTCACAGAGGTACTTCTACTCTTCCACCCCCACCACCCACCAAGGTACTTTTTTTTTTTTTTGAGACAAAGTTGTGCTCTGTTGCCCAGGCTGGAGTGCAGTGGTGTGATCTCTACTCACTGCAACCTACACCTCTAGGGTTCAAGCAATTCTCCTGTCTCAGCCTCCCAAGGAGTGGGGATTACAGGCACAGGCCACCTCGTCAGGCTAATTTTTGTATTTTTAGTAGAGACGGGGTTTAACCATATTGGCCAGGATGGTCTCAAACTCCTGACCTCAGGTGATCCACCCACCTCCGCCTCCCAGAGTGCTGGGATTACAGTATGAGGCAGCACGTCCCGCTCCCACAATTCATTGTCCGAAGCTCTACTCCCCCGCTCCTCCCTCCCCCCCCCCCCACCGCCCCCGAGGTTTTTTGGTTCCAGTTAGGCCGAGTAGAAGGGAAAACTTTCTCTTTGAGGTCTTGGGCTCCCTCCTCCGGCATACTGACTGAACTAAGGAAAAGCTTTCTGGCCTCTCTTTGAATACGGCTCCTTTTCTTCAGATGTAAAAAAGGGTCAGGAGAAGCTGCTGACAGTCATCTCAGGAGGGCCGGTGAGTCCGGAGTATGGACTTAACCAGTGAGGTTAGGACCTGAGATTTCTCAGAGAAAGGTGGGTTTTGAGCCTTCCAGTAGTACATGATAGAAGTAGAAAAAGGGGCCAGGCGTGGTGGCTCACGCCTGTAATCTCAGCACTTTGGGAGGCTGAGGTAGGCGGATCACCTGAGGTCAGGAGTTCAAGATCAGCCTGGCCAACATGGTGAAACCTTGTCTTTTTTTTTTAAAGATGTGGTTTCACCATATTGGTCAGGCTGGTCTCAAACTCCTGACCTCAGGTGATCCGCCCGCCTCGGCCTCCCAAAGTGCTGAGATTACAGGTGTGAGCCACCGCGCCTGGCTGAGACCCCGTCTTTAAAAACAAACAAACAAACAAAAAAGTAGAAAAAGGGACATAGACCAAAAACGGGACAGCTTGCTCACTACCTGGCGGGGTGGTGTCCCCCTTAAGGGGAGGAGTGGGGCCAGTCGGGAGGCGATAGGCGGAGAGACCACAGGAGACCAGGAGGAGGAGAGGAGGGGAATCCCAGGGGAGCAGGAGGCTGAGGGTCAGAGCAAAGGAGAAGTCCGGCTCAGTCAAGGAGGGTTAGACCAGTCGTTGGGGTGTGAGGTGTGACAATCTAGGCGCCAACAACCTCTAAGGTGCCAGCAATTTCAGATTGGTGGATGTTTAGCACAGTTTTTCCCGTGACAACACATGATCTGTTTTTGACAGAAAAGACAGGACTGAGATGGCCAGCCCGAATGGCTAATGGGGGCTTTGACTTCATGAGACAGAAGTCTGCACTTAGGACCTTGACAAAGTTTTTTTACCCCATCGTCTGGGGCAATAAGCACATCGGGGCATATAAATTCAAACGCTAGAGACAGACAGGACAACAGACACGAGACATACAAATCCAGACGTCAGGAACAAAACAGGACAACTGACACTGAGGTAGATAAATGATGGTGGCAGTTTTAAGGACAAAGGACTGGGTCCTTAGATGCAAGCCTCTGAGGTCCCCACGCACTCACACATGCGTGCACACAGTCATTTAGAGGTTATCACAGTCTTTTACACTTTGTAAACAGTTGGAACCCTGACAAAATTTTTATCTTGTTTGTAAATGTTTCAAATCAGACAGAAACCAGGGACTCCGTCCTCCAGCGTCCTGGAGTGGCGACGGAGTTGAGGGGGTTTCCCTTAACAGGGTTGAGCTCCTCTAGATCAGGCAGAAGGACAGGACCAGGGACCCTGGACCCTGGAGTCCAGAAGCAGACAGCCAGAAGCCGACAGAACCAGGAACCCTAGACCCCCAGAATTTAAAGACAGAAAAACCAGAGCCAGGACACTTCCAGAGTCAAAAACCCAGAAACAGCACTCTTCCAGAGTCCAGAACCTGGAACCAGGACCAGGGGCTCTGGGGCACCCAGGGCCCAAGGTCACAGGAGTTACCATAGTTAATTCTGGCATCCTGGTAATCAGATGATCCCTGTAACTTCCACGACTAACCAGATCAGGGCTGACTTGATCTTACCTTCTCCACGGAGCAGAACCAGGGACTCTGAAGAATAATTTGGTGGAGGGCGCTGGGAGTTGATCCGTTCTCCTCTGGCAAGGGGTGGCCTACGGGGCCCTGGAACATCTCAGGGGGCACTGCCCCTATAGTCCGCCTCCCAACTCAGGGTGGCCCTGAACGAGCCCTGTCTGCACCCGGTGGCGAAATATTGCTCTGGGGCCTCCAAATGTAATAACTGAGCGAGTTAGAAGGAAGCGGGCCACACTCTGAGTTCCAAATTAAGAGTCCTTTTTATTAGCTGGTGACCGAGAGACGGCTAACACAAACACAAATTTCCCTTGGCCCCCGCCCCCCGGGAGGAAGGTGCTTGATTTCCCTTTATACCTTGATTTAGGTAGGGGAGGGGGAGCCTAGCTGAAGTGAAATTTTACAGAAGCAGAACAGGCAAGTTAGCTAGTAACCAGGGGGAGGAGGTTCCCAGGATTTTTGGTTGCTAAGGGTATTTCCACACAATCACCAAGGGGGGTTCAAAGAGAGTTATACACAATAGCAGGTGTGCCTGCCAAGCAGGATGCAGATTCATTGGTCATATGGTGGGATAAGCATAGAGTCAGCGTGACATAAGCACACAGTCAGTGTGGCCCAGTTATGCACCCAAAGGTAGGGAGGGGGGAAGCTAGGTTGGAGCTTACAGCTAAGATGGAGTCAGTGATGCTAGCACAGGGTAGGTTCTTACAGTGTCTAGCACCTTTATGATCCACCTCACCTGTACAGTGTGGCGCACTCAAACTGGCCTCAGCCCCGCCAGCACAGGCATCCCTGCCGTGAACATCTTCCTGCTGTCCTCTTATGGAGTGTAAGGGAACTCCTGTTGGAGTGGGATTTCCAGGTTATGGGGCACATGCACTCATGACTTCACACAGTACCACAGATGCTCTCCTGAGTGGCTGTGAGCTGTGAGAGTTGACACTCCACCTGGAGGCTT